ACACACACACACACACACACACACACACACACACACACACACACACACACACACACACACACACACACACACACACACACACACACACATTGGCCGACCAAGCTGTCGCAGCAACAGCTGCGGGCCGACAGCACAACACACAACCACCACTCGCACCAAACCAACACCACACAGCGCCAAGACAACACCGCAGCCGTTGACCCACCGCTTCTGTGCAACGGCAAACATGGTTGAGTTGTGGAGCCACTGCACATCGCGCACGGTTTCGCCAACGTTGATCTCGCAGGCAAGGTTGCCAGACTGCCAGTCGAAAGCAGCAATGTGGCCCTTTCGCCCGCCAATCAACAGGTGCCTGCATCGGACACACAAGGAGGGACACGTGTGCGTGCGTGTGTACGTGCGTGTATGTAAGTGTGTGCAAGGAACGTGGTGTTGTGAAATGCTCATGTGCTTGCTGGTACGCATGCCACGCCATGTGAACGTGTAAGGCACACGACCAATGCAGAGAGGTGGTCGGACCTGCCGTTGGCTGTGTAACGCGTGCAGTATGGCCCAAACTGATCCAGCTTGAGGTTGAACACCTGTGCATCAGACACCGCATGCGCATGAGATTATATGCGCCACATGTTGGCGTTGAACAGCGGTGACACAGCGCCTACAAAGACGCACACACACACATACATACACACACACACATACACACACACACATACACACACACACACACACGCGCGCGCGCGCGCTTCAAATCAATCACACTGCGCTGCCGCACCTTCTTTGCAGAGCTTTCGTCCACCGCCTCTGCAATGTCTGTTTGGCGGAAGTTGTATGTTTTCTCCAGCCCTTCGGCCTCAAGGAAACCGGCGTCCTCCGTCAGCAGGATCTCGGCCTTGGCAGCCTCGCGTGCTGCACGCTTCTGCTCCTTCTTCGCCTTTTCCACTTTGGACTTTGCAATCTTGTCCTTTGGGCGCATTCTCTGCAAAACATGCATTCCGCAGTAGCATGGCGGGGAGAACACAGTTGAGTCTCCATCTGTCTCAGGCCTGTGAAGATACACAGATGCTCAAGCTCCAACACACATGCACACACACACACAGACATGCGAACACACACACACACAGACATGCGAACACACACACAAATACACTAACGCGCACAGACATGCGAACGCATTCACACGCACGCATAGCCATGTGGAGACACAGGTACACAAGTCCTGCTGTGATTCCTCATCTCTTGTTCGCACAAACACAGGTGTGGGTGCGATCAGAGGAGGGTCTGCACGTGTTACCTTTGGCAGGTGTGTTCCGCGTTTGTATTTCGCTGCCCGCTTCTCAATCTGTGCCTCGGCCTTCATCTTGTTCTCCCACACTTTCTTCTTTGTTTCTCTCATCTGCCTCGCCTTCTGGATCTTCTTCTGCTTAGCAGTACGCGCAGCTGCGACAAAGCACAACGCAAAACGCAACACGGCAACAATCCCAATTGTCAGAGTCGTGCGATCGCACCACCTCTCAGCAAAAGCAATCAGGCACAGAGAGAGAGATAAAGAGAGAGAGAGAGAGACAGAGACAGAGACAGAGACAGAGAGAGAGAGAGAGACACAGAGAGAGAGAGAGAGAGACAGAGACAGACAGAGAGAGGAGACACACACACACACGCACAGACACACACACACACACACACACAAACGCACACAGACACACACACACAGACAGACAGACAGAAACACACACACGGCATCTTCAATCACCCCCCTCTACCCTGGAGCACTGTTATCATACCCGACACAGCATATGTCAGCGCACCTTTGCGTTTGGCATGCTGCTTGAACGCAGCAGCGTTCTTGCTGCTGCTGCTGCTGCTGATGCCTGTGTCCAAGCCAACCACGTGCTCGCTCATATCCGCGGTGCTTCTTCCTTGTTTCCTGTTGTTTGAGGATCTTTAACTGTCGCGTGTCGCCCAACAGACAACGTCAAAATTGCCTTTGCATGCAGAAGTCAATTTTGCCGTGGAGGACCTCCAGCACAACACACACACAAAAGACACAACACCTCCTGTTTGGCTGGCTGGTGTGCATGTTCCACACCGCGACCACACCGCATCAGCACCACCGAACAGTAGTGCGACCAAACAACCAAGTACACACGCACGTGAAGCGCACACACACACACACACATATATCGCTTCACCCTTGTGGTGCCGCCATGGCCAGTAATCATGGCGTCGGCGTCAAGTACGCCATCATCAGCTACGATACAAGGTGTGGTGGTGAATGCATCCGACATCGCAGCCATTCTTGTCCTTGTCCTTGTCCTTGTCCTTGCCCTTGTCCATGTGTTCCTTCTTCTTCGTCTGTGTACCCACGCATCCAAGCCTGAAATACCTCAACCCATTCCCCAACACACGCACACACACACACATGCACACATACACACATGTACACACACTCCCTCTCTCTTTGACAGATGTTTTGTGGCTCGCGTGACTTCCACGCAGTCCCAAATTGTGGAGCTGATGGCATGTGATGATCGCGTGTTTGTAACGCACCCCTTCAAAGCCAGGTCTGTGGCGCTTTAGCGACTTAAGTGCAGCGAGGCGTGGCTTTGTGCTGTTTCTACTGCGGAACACAGTGCCTCGCTGCCGGAACACAGTGCCTCGCTGCAGCTT